GACTCAATGTTTTAAAGATGTAAATTTTCCACAATGGTGTGTAGATTCCATGTAATTCCAATCTACATTCTGAACAGGTTTTCCAAGGAACTTGACAAACTGATTCTAAAATTTCTGTAGAATCCAGCTGCTCAGATTACATGAAGAAGAACATGGCATCAGGATTGGATGAAGAGTTATTAACAATTTGCAATATGCAGATGACAGAAACTTACTTGCTGAAAGTGAAGAGGACTTGAAGTGCTTACTGAAAAAATCAAGAACTACAGCCTTCTGTATGAATTATACCTCAAAATCCTTACAACTGGACCAATAAGCAACATCATGATAAATGGAGGAAATATGGAAGTTGTCAAGGATTTCATTTTACTTGGATCCACAATTAACACCCATGGAAGCAGCAGTCAAGAAATCAAATGACGTATTGCATTGGGCAAATCTGCTGCAAAATACCACCTTAAAGTGTTAAAAATCACATACGTCACCTTAAGGACCTAGGTGTGCAGGATCCAAGCCATGGTATTCTCAATTGCCTCATATGCATGTGAAAGCTGGACAATGAATCACGAAGACCGAAGAAGAATTAGTGCCTTTGAATTATGATGTTGATTAACAATATTGAATATATTATAGACTGCCAGAATGAACAAGTCTGTCTTGGAAGAAGTATAGCCAGAATGCTCCTTGGAAGCGAGGATGCCGAGACTTTGTCTCATGTACTTTGGACGTGTTATCAGGAGGGACCAGTCCCTGGAGAAGGACATCATGCTTACTTAGTAAAGGAGAGGGTCAGTGAAAAAGAGGAAGACCCTGCATGAGATGGATTGACACAGTGGCTGCAACAATGAGCTCAAGCATAACAACGATTGTGAGAATGGTGCAGGACCGGGCAGTGTTTCCTTCTGTTGTCCACAGGGTCGCTATGAATTGGAACCCACTGGATGGCACCTAACAACAACACAACTTCTGTGGAAGCACAATGGGCATAGAAACCGGGGGAAGAAAAGTATGGAGAGCAGGGATTTCCTTCTCGAGGTCAAGATGCACCCTCATACTTCCGGGATGAATGCCATGGCGGAAGGTGAGTAGAGAACCTCAAACAGAGCCCCCATATAGAGAAAAGAGGCCATGCGGTCACTGTACATCTTCATGGTAAGGACAGGCCCTGTGATAAATGGTGCTGGGACAGTCTGTTCTCCATGTGGGGTAGCATAAACTGGAATCCTTTCCTCACATCCTCCCCTAAATCATTTCCAGGAAGATCAAAGACTTGTGAGCAGCAAAACTATAAAACTTAGAAACAACATAGGAGAGTACCTTTATGACCTAGTGGTAGGGAGAGATCGCTCATACGAGGTCCAAGAAGAACAAATAGAGCAAAATCTGTTACATTTGGAGTAAATAAGAACTTTCATTATTTAATGGACAGTTGCCGTGGAGTTGATGTTGACTCATGGTGCCCCTTGCGTGTCAGAGCAGAATTGTGCTCCATAGGGTTTTCAGTGGCTGATTTTTCAGAAGTAGATGGCCAGGCCTTTCTTCCGAGGTACCTCTGGATGGACTCCAACTTCCAATCTTTCTGTTAGCAGCTGAACTTGTTAACCATTTGCACTATACCAAACTCTAGTATACATGTACAGATATACATATATATGCATGTGTCTGTATGTGTATGTATGTATGTAGGTATAAGAATGCCTACAAATCGATAAGAAAAACATAAACAATCCCTAGAAAGTGGACTAAAAGCTTGAACACTTTACAGAAGAGGTCAACTTTACGGTAAGTAAAGAGCTTAATCTCTTCAAGACCACAGGAAATGCTAATTAAACTCTGAAGACACCATTTCACTGTCAGCAGACTCTCAAAAAAATGACTCAGAAAGTTAGTTACGTGGCGCCAAAGGCTGGCCAAGAAGTCGCGCGGCACCAAAGGCTGGCCAAGAAGTCGCGCGGCACCAAACGCTGGCCAAGATGTGGGCCAACCAGCACACATGCTGGTGAGGGTGAAAACCAGAACCTTCATTTTGGAAGATAATTTGACATTTGCTAAGAAAGCTGAACACACTCCTACACCACAGTCCCGCAATTCCGCTCCTACATGTGTCCCCGGAGAAATGCTTGCAATTGAGCTGATGTTCACAGCAGCAATCTTAGTAAAAACAGCCTAAAGCCCAAATGCCCTGAAGTGCTCAACAATTAGTAAACTGATCAATAAGTCTGGCACACTCACGTAATGAAACAGGGTAGCAACAAACCACAACTTCAAATGTCAACCTGCCAAAATCTCAAAACTATGGAGTGAAAGAAGCAAGTCACACGTGTGTCCAGCATGGAATTCAAAACCAAGAAACACAAAGCAACATAGTATTTACAGATACGTCATTTAGTGGTAAAACCAGAAGGGAAAGCAGGGCAGTGACAAACACAAAATTGAAGACAGTAGATACCTTGGGTGGGGAGCAGGGCCACCAAGGGGGAGTCTCTAATATACTGGAAATAATCCATTTCCTACGCTGCTGGTATTGCTATCTTTGGACCCTACTCTGCCTGCTCTTTTCTGTGTCTGATACAGCTCACAAAGAATGTATCAGGGAGCCTTTGCCAAGTGGGCCCTCCCCACAGGGCGGGTAGACAAGGGAATTCCCACAGTCGCCCCTGCTCACTGTGTAGCCACAGAGCCTGGCTTGTGTGTGGTTCACAGAAGGCGCTCAGCGAGCCTTTGTTGACTGACTAAATGAGTGCCCGAAGGCGGGGAGGCAGGAGTGAATGGCCTTTCCTGATGAAGGTGTTCCAGTTACAGGACACGGTGGCTTCCGACTGGGGCAGGGGCAGCCAAGGCCTCAATAGGACCCCGTGAACGCCCCCTCCCTGGGAGGTCTGGCTCCTAGGGGTGGGGGGACGGCCTCTGCCAGCACCCTTCCACCTCCGCATTCTTCAGGAGCTCAGGCCAAGCCTTGAGAAGTACACCTGCGGCCGCCCGCATCCAGGTTCCAGGAAGCCTGGGGCCGCCCCACCGGAGCCCCACCAGCCCTGCTCCCAGGCCGGCGTGCTCGGGAGGACGTCTTCTGGCCAGGAAGGGCGGGCGGGCCATTCTACTCTCTGCCTTCGCGTTGGCTTTTCCCTGCCGCGTGCCCCCCTCCCTCCGCACAGCGGAGCTGGATCTCCACCGAGCAGGCTCCCTGAGGGCAGGCCTGTGCCCCTGCACCGTCCTCACAGACTGGAGGCTCCCTCAGCCCCCACCTGGGTTAGTTGTCTGTCCCAGGACCGACAGATGTCAGGGAGCACCAGGACGGGCCTGGCGGGGAGGTGAGGGCCAGGCCAGGGGCGGGCGAGGCACCGCTTCTACAGCTTTTTCATAGGCCGCTCTGGGTGCCTTTGTCCTTTTCAGGCTGGAGAGCGGGCCTCACCCTCCTCTGGGCTTCGAGTGGAAGAAAGGGCCGTGGTGGGGGGAGTGCTGGCGGGAAGCGGGCCTGCAGCTCAGCGTGGGCCACACCCGACCTCCCTGAGGGGTCGTCCTAGGCTGGGCTCCGAGAAGCAAGAGGAGAGGACCCCTGGGTCTCCCACCCCTTCCGTCAGTCCTGAGCTGGAAGAAAGGCTCCTTTGCTGGGCCTGTGACACCAGACCCTCAGCCTGGGCATGGGTCCCAGCCCCATTGTCCCTGCTGTCTGCAGCTGCCAGGGCGTTGCCCAGTCCTGGCCCCCATCAAAGGCCCTTTTGGCCCCCACGTTTCCACCCCAGCTGTGGGCACTTCCTGCTGGTCTTGCCACATGGCTCCCCGATGCCACATTCTTTGTGCTGGAATTTCTATCTTGCTGACGTGAGGTGGGGTGGGGGGAATGACTTGGTGGCACGCAAGGGTCCATGTGGGATCACAGCAGAGAGGGCAGATGTTTCGTGGGTGCAGGGGCCAGGTCTGGGGCCAGTTGAGCCCTTGCTGCTTCCCCAGCCAGGGGCTAGGGACCTGTGTGCTGACCGGCACCCCAAGCCAGGACTAGGGACCCTCTCCCTTCTCATTCTCCAGGACCGGCCTGGTGTCTGGGGCCCCTCCTCCTGCTCCCCCTCCTTGGGAAGCCTCCTCTGGCCTCTCCAGTCCAGGCCTCTGTTCCTCCTCCCAGGCAAAGGGCACCTCTGAGCTGGGTCTCTGGGCTTGGGTGACCTGCCCCTCAGCTGTCCCCTCAGCCCAGGGGCTGTCTGGGGAGGGCGGCTCAGCCCTTCATACTGTTTGGTTTTGAGCTCCCAGGACCTCAGCGCAGGTCCAGCTGGGTCAGCTCCATGTCCCTGCGGTCTAACCAGTGCAGCCCCCTCCCCATTTCCACCATGCAGCCCAGGCTGGGTCAGCAGTGAGGAGGCCAGGTCTGGTCCTGGCGGGACCTAAGGGTCTGGCCCTCCAGCACTTGCCACTCCTCCTCCTGAGTCCCCAGCCGGGATCCTACTCAGCTGTTGTAGCTGGCCGAACCTACCTCCCGCAGGACTAGGCCAGGGAAAACCGGGTCTCCCCAGGTCCAAACACCCTCCGGGCAAGCCTGTGCCTGAGTCAGCTCAACCTGCCCCCACCTCTGCCAGGACTCTGCCACCTGCTGGGCCTCCTGAGCCCAGCCAGCCCCTGCCACCAAGCCAAACGCTGCGCCTCGACCCCCCTGGAGAGGCCTGGGGGTCCTCAGGGCCCTGCCACGGTGGGACACTGCCTGCGGGCAGACATTGGCAGACGAGCACTCGGGGTCACAGGCGACAGGTCAGAGGACACAAGGCTCTGGGGTGAGCAGGTGGGAAGGACTCTGGCCGCGGGGCGCCCAGCGGCGACCCAGGCGCTGAGAGGTGCGGCGCGGAGTCGAACTAACCAGCCGCGGTGACTCAGCCGGGCAGCGCCTCTCACCTGTGTTCGTCGGTGCAGGGCCTTGGCGGGCGGGGGACGGGGCGGGCTCTCCGGTGGGCGGGGCCGGGCCACCCTGCTCCGGGCGTCTACCCCGCGGGCGCCGGCCGCCTCTGCTTCCTGACTCCTTGCTGTCCGCTGTCCCGCGGCATCCTCGGCCCGCGCGCCCGCTCATGGCCGGGAAGGTGCTGCCTCTGCTGCTGCTGGCGGTGGCGGGCCTCGTCGGCCTGCTGCTGCTCTGCGTCCGCACCCGAGACGTCCGGGAGCCGCCAGGCCTCAAGGTGCGCACCCGGGCCCGGCGCACGTCCGGGGGCAGCCCCAGCGGGACAGGCTGCGCCTGCGGGTGGCCTGAGACCCCTCGCGCTCCGCTCCCCGCCCGGGACCGCGGGGCGGCAGCGGCGCTTCCGGGCCGACGCGGGGCTGGAGGCCGAAGTCCGGGCAACTCCCCGGTCGCCGCGCCCGCTGCGGAGCCTGGTGCGGACGCGGCGGAAGGCTGTCTCCCCCGGCGGCCCGATGCAGCCTGGCGGCGCCGCCGGCCGCAGCGGAACCAGGCACTCAGCCCAGCGCGGTCCGCGGGGCGCCCGGAGCTGCCGCCGCCCGGGAGCGCCCTGTTAGGGGCCCACATGCGACTCGACAGGCGCGGGGGCCAAGGACCCCTCCTCGCCACCCCGTAGCCGGGACAGTGCGGGCGCTGCCCTTGAGGGGGGCGCTGGCGGGCCGCCCAGGCTGAGCCGAAAGGGGATTGGGGTGGGCTGGACCAGATCTCCACCCCTCAGGCCAGCAGTTGGTTTGGTCCCATAACCCCTTACGGGGCTTCTGCGGAGGCCAGGCTTTGAGGGCCTGGGCCGGGCTGGGGGGTAGCCCCCAAGCCCTGCCAGCGAGTAGAGCATGAGGGTGGGGTTCTGCAGCCGCGCACAGCCGCCCAGGGGAGGATGGGTGGCTGCTCCCCGGTGGTCTCACCGGGAGTTTCCTGGTGGTGGAGGCGCTGGTACCGGGGCAGCAAGCCAGGCAGGCGTGGTCTCCAGCCCTGATGGCCCCTGTTGGGAATCCAGGCCTGGGGGCAGGTGCTGGGAATTGGCATTTAGGAGCAGGGTGCTGGGCTTGGCCAGGCTTCCAGGAAGGCAAAGAGCCAGCTCCTCCCCAACTCACACCCTCACAGCCCTGCAGACCCACCTCCTTCTTTTAGGCCCAAGTGGTTTTAGAACTACTTCAGCGCTGGAGGCCCACATCCACCCTCCCTCTGGCCCTCCTCCCCCCTGTGCTCTGGCTTCTGCATCTCTAGGTTGGGCTGAAGTCAAAGCTGACAGTACAGGGGGAGGAAGTGCAGAAGGATGGGGTTCCTCCTGCGACTGGACTTCCTCTCCAAGGCCCCTGTGACCTGGGGCAGGGTTCTAAGTGTGGTCCCAGCATCCCCTGATGCCTCCCCCAGCTGGGGCCTGGCACAGCCCCACTGATTGCCCTTGCCAGGAAAGCTATGGCCCGGTGCCGCCCATGCTGGCCCCCAGGACCCACCTATGTTCCTGCTCTGGCTTTGGGCAGTCGGAGGGGAAGAGAGGACCAGCAGGGACTTCCGGCCACCTAACCACCCATTCTCCCTGGGGCCAAGATTTATCATTGTGGGGGTCCTTGGCCTTCTCTGAGCCTCAGTTTGCTCCTCTGTAAAGTGGGAATTTCAATCTGAAGCTTCCAACTTCTCAGGGTGGGGTGGGGGTGGAGAGCTGGGGGAACCCAAAGGCATGGCCCCCAGGGCTCCCAGACCCCTGAGCTCACCCCACCCCACGCACCCGGTCCTCAGTACGGCATTGTCCTGGATGCTGGCTCCTCGCACACGTCCATGTTTGTCTACAAGTGGCCTGCAGACAAGGAGAATGACACCGGTATCGTGGGCCAGCACAGCTCCTGTGACGTGCAGGGTGAGGGTCCCTTGAGACCAGGCACCCTCCCAGCCTGGACACTCACTCCCTGTAGGGCCTCAAGGGCCCCTAGGGCCTCAGCCCCTGCAGAGACAGCAGTCTAGGCCCCTCTGCCCACTGCTGGGCAGGACTTGGCCCCGGGCGGAAGCTGTGGGAACCCCAGACAGAGTAGCTGGGCCTTCTGGGCCTGGGAGGGGCTGTGGGCAGTTTGCATTCCAGAAAGGGAGCCCCAGGCAGCAGAAGGGCCAGAGGCGCTGACAGGCATATCCCGGCAGGCCTTGGGCCCTCCTGCGGCACTTAGGAAGTAGAGGGCGGACTAGGTCGGGGGAGCCCAAACCTTCCAACTGCTGCCTGGGTGCCCAGACTGCTTTGTCCTGGCACCTGGGCCCACACCCACTAGGCAGGCAGCAACCTCAGAGACTCTGGGTGGCACCTGGGCCCCTTTGTCTCTGAACTGTGCTCTCCGAAGGCTTAAGCTGGGAAGGTGTAACTCAGCTGCCACCTGCTTGGGAACCTAAGACCCCCAGTCCTGCTGTGCCGGCACGGGCCCATCTCTCTGCCTCCCTCTAGGTGGGGGCATCTCCAGCTACGCAGACAACCCCTCTCGGGCTGGCCAGAGTCTCGTAGAATGCCTGGACCAGGCGCTCCGGGATGTGCCTAAGGAGAGACACGCTGGCACGCCCCTCTACCTGGGAGCCACCGCGGGCATGCGGCTGCTCCAGTGAGTGTGCCCTTCACCTGCCCGGGGTGGGCCCTGCACACCTCAGCTGCCCTGGGCTGGGGCCCCTCGGCTGGGCAGACCCCGTGTGCCCCAGCAGCAGGACTAGGGCCACCTGGGGAAGTGGCTGCTCAGAGTTCCCTGTTTCACAGCCTGACTGATCCTGAGGCCTCAGCCGAGGTCCTTTTGGCTGTGACCCAGACGCTGAATAGTTACCCCTTTGACTTCCGTGGTGCCCACATCCTCTCGGGCCAGGACGAGGGGGTGTTTGGCTGGGTGACCGCCAACTACCTGCTGGAGAACTTCATCAAGGTGGGCCGGGATGAGGGGGGCCCCAGCGAGCTACAGGGCATGGGCACCCACTTGCCTGCTGACCCTCAGTGTCCACTTTCCACAGTATGGCTGGGTGGGCCAGTGGTTCCGGCCAAAGAAGGGGACGATGGGGGCCATGGACCTGGGAGGCGCCTCCACACAGATCACCTTTGAGACAGCCAGTCCAGCTGAAGATCCAGCCAGTGAGGTCCAGCTGCGGCTCTATGGCCAGCACTACCGCGTCTACACCCACAGCTTCCTCTGCTACGGCCGTGACCAGGTCCTCAGGAGGCTGCTGGCCAGTGTCATCCAGGTGCCCCTCCCCTCAGGCCACCCACACCCACACTGCTCCCTCCTGGGGGAAGGGGGCTGAGAAGGGCCCCAAAGCTGATCCTGGACAGTGGCCACACTGTGGAGGGCTGCTCAAGGCAGCCAGGACCAAAGCTGGCAGGACAAGTGGCAGGGAACCCAGCATGGGAAAAGCCCAGGGGCTGGGGGTGGGTCTGTGAGTGCCAGTCTTGGGGGAAAGGAAGGCCAGGGCCAGATCTTGGAGGGCCTTGAATGCCTGGTCAGAGGATTTGGTCTTTGTTTGGAAGGCAATGGGGGGCCATGGACTGTTCCTGAGCACAGATGTGATGTCACCCAAGTAGAATTTGTGGGAGATTCACCCGGCTCATACTCTGGGGAGGCCTGCCCAGGATTGGAGTGACAGGCAGTGCTTGGAGGGGGAGGTGATACTACCTGCACCCTTGCCATCCACCAGACCCGAAGATTTCACCCTTGCTGGCCAAAGGGTTATGCTGCCCAGGTGCTCCTCCAGGATGTGTATGGGTCACCGTGCACAGCAGCCCAGAGGCCCAGGACCTTCAACAGCAATACCAGCATCAGCGTGTCCGGCAGTGGCGACCCTGCCCTCTGCCGAAGCCTCGTGATGGGCCTCTTCGATGCCTCCTCCTGCAGCTTCACCCACTGCTCCTTTAACGACGTCTTCCAGCCCCGTCTAGCTGAGCACTTTATTGTATGTCCAGGTGAAGTAGGGGAGGGGGGGTTGCCTTGAAGTGCCTGGGGCTTTCTGCACTGTGACCACCCTCCCTCACAGGCCTTCTCTGCTTTCTTCTACACTGTGGACTTCCTGAGGACTGTGATGAAGCTGCGCGTGGAAACCCTGCAGGAGCTGGAGGCAGCCACGATGACCGTCTGTAACCAGACCTGGAATGAGGTGAGGCCCTGCTCCCCATTTCCACCAGGGCTGTGCAGGAGGCCCAGCGCCGGAGGTGGCATCCCAGCCACGCATTGCTTTCCCAGTGCGGAGGGACCAGGGCTCCCCGTGCACTGGAGGTGGCACTGGTCTGGCTCGTGGGTGGGCTGTGGTGTGGGGAAGGGTGTGGTGGGGGGGTGTGTGCATACCCAGGGAGCCATCTGGGACTGCGGAAGCTTCCCTGAGGCCTGACCCTACAGCCAAGATCTGGAGGGGATGGGGAGAGTCATCCAGGCAAAGGGAGCAGTGAGTGCAAAGGCCCTGTGGCAGCAGGAAGCATGGAGCAGATGGGCTGAGAGGAAGGTGCTGGGGCATAGCCCGGGGGAAGAAAGGTGTATGATGGCCTCACAGTGAAGTGCAAGGATTCACAGAGACTCCGTAGGGCTTAAGGGTGAAGGAGGGAGTTGAAGACAACCCCCAGGTTTCTGGCTGGGGACACCAGCCCGACGGAGTGCTGTTTAAGGAGAGGAGAAAGACGGAGGGCTTGGCTTTGGGCTTGTGGGGTGTAAGATGCCCCACAGAGACTCCCAGCCCACCTGTCTGAGCGGTAGCAACGTGTGAGCCCTGTGTGAGGTCAGGTGGTGACAGAGGCCTCCATCCTGCCCTGTCCTTGTGCCCTGGGGGAGGCAGAAGAAGCAGCCAGGGGTTTCTCTGCTCATGGCCACGCCCCAAGGTTGCTCCAGCCCTGTACTCTGTGTCCCCTGGCTGACGCCGTCTTCCAGGCACAGAAGGGACACAGGCTCTACCTGGCCACACTCACCTCCTGCCCTGGCCTTGGTCTTTCCTGACCTGGCATCGGTCTTGCTGCGTGTTCGGGTCGGTGATGTGGTTTCTGGCCTTGCATTCCCTGCATGTGCAGGGAGAGGGGGTGGCACGCCGTCGGCCACCCCTCCGCACTGGGGCGAGTCCTCCCCGGACTGTCAGGGCCGTCAGCCGGGCCTCACCACCGCCGACGCTGTCCACCCGCATCCCAGCTGCAGACCCGGGCGCCGGAGGAGATGTCCCGCCTGCCCCACTACTGCGCAGGGGCCATGTTCGTGTGGCAGCTGATGAGCTATGGCTACGGCTTTGACGAGCCCGCCTTTCGCGGCGTGACCTTCCGGAAGAAGGTGAGAGCTGGCGGCCGGGCGGGGCCTGAGGGCGGGGCAAGCAGGCGGCCGGGCACTCTGAAGGGCGGGGCCAGCGCACAGAGGGGCGGGGCCAGGCCCGGAGGGGCGGAGCTTCCGGGCCTCACACTTGCTGAAGCCTCCGGGCCCTCCTGCAGGCTGGGGACACGGCGATCGGCTGGGCGCTCGGCTACATGCTGAACCTGACCAACATGATCCCCGCCGACCCGCCGGGGCTGCGCAAGGGCTCGGAGTTCGGCTCCTGGGTCGTCCTCCTCCTGCTCTTCGCAGCCATGCTCCTGGCCGCGCTTGTCCTGCTGCTGCGCCAGGTGTGCTCTGCCAAGTAGTAGAGCGCCAGCTAGAGGCGGGCCAGGGGTCTGTCCACAGCCCTTCCGTCTCCGCCCTCCCTGAGCCCTCCACCCCAGCATCCAGCCCCTAACGCGCCCCGGAACAGAGACAGGGACTCGGGCTCCCACGCCCACCATGGGCTCGGGTGGGCAAGAGGAACTCAATCCTGCCCCCTCTAGCCCCCTCCTCTCTCGTCCCCGGTCCAGCCTCGGCTTCTTCTCAAGGCATCTACTACCTCTCCACTTCCTGGGGTTAGGGGTCTCCAGACGCCCCAGCCTGTCTGTGGTGGTCCTCAGCCTGTGACTGTTCTCCAGGGAGTGGGGTTTTTATTCTGACAACCAGGGCCCTCGAGCCCCCTCCACTCCGTATTGGAGGAGGTCAGAGCCCACGGGTTGGGAGCCAGCCCAGAGCCTACCTGTACAAATTTTGTAATAAATTTTTTTTCCTAGAGCAGTGTAGAGTGTTCATGGGGTGGGGCCTCTTTGCTGGTGCCTGGCCTCTCCAGCTGCGCAGGCTCGCTGGTTCCCCCAACCTTGCTGTCCTGTGGACACATCTCTCCCTCTCTCCTTCCTGTCTGGGCCCAGACTGGGGTGGTGCTGATCCCGCTCCCCAGCTCTCCTGGCGGCTGGGAGTTGCTGCCCCAATGGCCAGCTGAAGGGCGGGGCCCTGAGTCCCTCCAGTCTTCTCCCGCTGGCCGAGCTCCCCCTCCCCGCTTCGGACCAGTGACCTAAACCAGGCTGGAGGAGGGTTCCTGGCCTAGAGTTGGCTTGGGGAACTCACAAGCGGGTGGGGGTGCGCCTGCTTAGTGTGCAGCCTGTGTGAAAGAGACTGGGGAGGGGGCTCAACAGGAGGCGATGCGGGGGCAGGGCAGGGATGGGATCAAGGATGAGACTGGGCCAGGAGAGGTTCACAGCCCCATTGCCGCAGGGATTAATCTCGCGAAGAGCGTTGGAGCTGAGCCGCTCCCGCCTGGATGCGGAGTCTCAGCTCCCTGCATCTCCAAGAGGCCCCTGCCAGGCCCCCAGCCTTGGCAGAATGACACCGTTCCGGCAGCCCCCTCCGCCTAGCGCGGTGGGAAGGCCTGGTCTTGGCTGCCCCTCTCCTTTCTGGGAAGCGAACTCAGTATTTCTGTCTGGTCAGTGCCCGGAGGGGGAGGGGGCCGTCATTGTTATGCTCCCCGCCCCCCCGCAGTTCTGCCATTTTTGAGCCATTTCACAAATCTGAAGGCAGCCAGTCCCGGCCTCGGAGACTTGAGGCCGGTGGGGCTGAGGGGAAGCGCAGGCTGAAGGTCTCACCCTTGTTCTGTCAGTGATGTGGGGTTGCCAGGCTGGATGGCGTGGGGGCGTGCTCCCATGAGGCAGCAGGTGGGATGTAAGGGGGTGGGGTCATAGGTGCTCGCTACGGTGGGGCCCCAGGGACTCCTGAGCGTGCCTGTCCGGGGCCCATAGGACCACCTTGGACAGCTCCCAGCTGGCCCTCATCAGCAACTCCAGGTCCCTCTTGCCCCCTTGTGGCCTCCCTGAGCACGGCCGTCAGCGCCAGCCTCGTTCTGGCGTGGGGGCTCCTTTTCCCTGTGTGTCTGAGTGCCCCGGTGCGTCTTTGGGCACACCTGTGCGTCCCTGTGCACCTGGCCATCCGTAATGCCTGCGTGTGCGGGTGTTCCTGGGGGCTCGCTCCACTAGGCCCAGGCAGGTCCCCTGCTCCAGCAGGGGTGGGGGGTGGGGTGGGAGCGCATCTCAGGGGAGCCTACCACCCGCCAGCCCCAAGCTGGATTGGTGAGGAACTGAGCAGGGCCCCGGCTGCAAAGGCTGCAAGGGGCCGAAGGACCCTAAGGCCTGGAGAGGCCCGAGACCGTGGACGGAGCCGGGGGAGGGGAGAGGAGAAGAGGGCGCAGACTGGAGGAGCCGTTTCGCCCCCGCTGGACGAGCGCGCAGGCGCACTTCACGAGCGAGCACCAGGGACCGCCGCGCCTCCATCCCGGATTCTTGCCGCAGCGTCAGCGCCGCCGCCGCCGCCGCCGCCGCCGCCGCTTTTCCTTCTCCTCTTCCTTCGCCGCCACCTCCGCCTCCGCCTCCACTTCCTCCTCCGCCCTCTCCGACGCGGCGCCTGGATTCCGCGCCGAGCCCCGGGCCGCGCGGTGCCATGCTGCCCCTGCGGCGGCGCTGAAGGATGGCGACACCGGTCCCTCCGCCCTCCCCGCGGCACCTGCGGCTGCTGCGGCTCCTACTTTCCGGCCTCGTCCTCGGTGCGGCCTTGCGTGGGGCC